CACCCTGTATATAAAATATTTCTAAATAATGTTTGCATTAAATTGTTGTCAATCAGTCAACATTACATAAAATACCGTGTTTTTTACAGAATGTTTTCAATGATTGGTTTAAGAGAAAAACATTGTTGAATTCAGTTCTCCATATCGATACCACTCCTTTGGCCCATCTAATCCTTCTGTACATTCCTTGTTTATATTAAAACCCATTTCAATGCAAACTATAGGCCTGGTATTCTAAGTTAAAATTATCCAATGAAATAGTCACTTATAGGAGAGCATGCAAGATCGTATACTTAATTACTCAGATGCGAGTATGTAGTTACCAGTTTCGCCACCAGGTGGCTAATTCGGGAGAAATAACATGACAGGACATTATAAAGTTCCATTAGACTTGAATATTCATCAGTTTTAGTGGTTCACTTTTCATGTTATCCTTATGTATTTGATAGTTATACAAATTAAAATATGTCCAGTAAAAGAAACATAAAAATAACATTTTCAAAGAAAATAACATTTTCAAGGTTGATAAACTCTTCAAAACCAAATTTCTAGACGTAGTTTTACATGTAGATTCCAAATATGACATCAGTTTGATTGAATTTTTAAGTTTTAATGACGTAAATCAAGATTATTTCTACTCGCACCTAGTCTATTGCAGTTATTAAGAAATCCAATATATACATGTACATGTACATATGGAAATTAGTAATGCGTTATGCTTTTCCAAGAGAACTGAATCATTGATTATATCTTTTCTATTACACTTCCTATGGTAGGGCTGTCGTGACATCATCAATCAAAACCTCAAAATGATATATCCTTTCAACGGTCCAATGGGTAATGTAATTGTTGATAATTTTACATGGTGTTTTGTACCAAGGCGACCTTGAGTGCAAAGTTAATGGTAAATGATGTGATTGATAATTCACACATAGCTAGGCAAAGTGTGTCCAATTCCAGCCAATCAGAACTTGATATTTCACGTAACTTCATTCCGTTATATAACCAATAAAGCATTTGTCAAAGTGATAACTAGACTCACAGTTTGAAATTGATGCTTTGCCAACTTTACCCCTGCAAAAAAACATTTAATATGTCATTTTAGCGATTTAGGTGATTTTGTAGAAAATATTTTGTAATGTGGGAAAAGAATTTAACCCCAAGACAATGAATTGTGGCTGGTTCATAACACTCAGGGGTGGTGTCCTAAACTTTGCATTCCCGCTGTGTGATCATGCAATATTTGGAAACAACACCTTCAATGGAATGATTCAGCATATATAGCACTGAGTCAGGGCTTAAATCCTTAAATGATAATTGATTAAAACAGTTCATATTATAATTATCGAATATAGCATTCGTTATAAATATCTTCATCCAGAACCGAACTGCCTTGTTATTGCATTTTTCTCAAGCCTCTCCTGTATATACCCCCCCCCCCCAAATAGGAATATGACATCAATTTAAACCAAATGTGACATCAATTTGAACTAAATGTGACATTCATTTGGACGCCGGAATATCCTGACAACGGTAAAGTCAGATACCGTTGTCACAAATGGTGGGAAATAACCGTCGCTTCAATGAGATATTCGTGATCTGTAAGTTTAATAGAGCGACTGGATTAAATTCCTTTGGTACTGCAATCAATCAAAGTGTTTTTCTACTGATCATATAGTTAAATATGTTCTACCATCGAAACGAAGGCTTTAATCTTACCGATCGAAATATGACACAGGACAACGGATACTGTATAAATGACAACAGTAGGTGTGGGTCAAATGTGATGTAAAATCGGAGTGACAACGGTCATATTTGACAACGGTATATGTAGTTTAAAGATTGTTATTTTCATATGTTCCAATGCAATACATCCACCATAGTCCGTTGTCACATCTTACCACATGCCGTTGTCTTTGTCAATTATTTCAAATTCAGATTCCGTTGTCATTGACGATATTAAAGACGCAGTATTGTGGCGATTCACAACCCCATTTGATAGAAATTGGGGTTTCTTATGATAAAAGTACAGGGTGGTCCAAAAAACCGATACCCAAGTTTAAGGATGAATATCATATGATATAACGTTAAACCATGCCATGCTTTTGTATATCATTTTAAAGATTAAAATCATTTCCCAACAATGTGACACTATCTGATTGAAAAACTGTTGTTTTCTTGTGGATTTAGAGGCTAAAACTGACACCAGGGGTGTCATGCGTGACCAAAGAAATATTCACTGCGGATTTCCAAATTGTGGGAAATGGAGGAAAATTCTAACTTTGGCACTTTCAAAAGACGTACATTTTTACAAGTATAGTGCAAAATTCAGCAATAATACTTCTATATTTTTTGATTAATTATCAATTGTGCATTACTCTTTAATAAATGTATGATGATTAAGTCAATCATATTGAGTGCAGCTGTGACTGCAATATGGAGGGAAAGGGAATTTTCTATTTTTTGATTATTGGTCGCTCACGGCACCCCTGGTGGGGGGGGGGTCACTCGAACCCATCGAACCCCCCTGGCTACGGGCCTGAAACCTTTATCTTTAAACTTGGGTATTGGTTTTTTGGCCCACCCTGAACATCACAAGAGCTCAATGTATATACAGAATTGGCGACGATAAAGTCCCATGAAACAAGGACCAAGTGATTAAAGAGTTGAAGCGACGGTTATGTCCGCCATTTGTGACAACGGTATCTGACATTAGCGTTATCAGGGTATTCCGGTGTGATGTTTTTATTTCTTAAATTATTTCAGGTTCCAAGTACGCAGGGGCGTACGAGGGATTCCGATGTCTGTGTGGAGACTATTTGAATTCTATGACTGAAGGTTGCACAATACCGTGTCGGGGGAACCCATCGGAGATATGTGGAGGTTCATCTATGTACATGATGTCGACATACCTTGTCTCTTATTAACCTTCTGAACAGGAGGCTTTATAGTGATAATGGAATTTCTCAGATAAGCCTTAATTAAGCTGTTTCCTCCTGTTCATCCTCCAATCGTTTTGATGAGTTTAAATGATAAAACACATATTCCTGCATACGTTTTCACTTGTTGAGCACTTGTCAACATTACCATTTACTTATTTTTGATGGGTTTAACAGGGGTCCACAAAAAATGAAAAATATTAGATTTTGATATTTTTGAAGTTTACAACAGATTATCTACTTATGAATCGGTTTTTGGGAAGGTTATTAGCATGACATATTGATTTTATCTGTGTAATTGAAAATAAGATCACCTGTCTGACTATATTTTGCATTTAAAATGATTAAAATTAATTGTTCCATTTAGTTCACTTTCTTTTAACATCATCTTGTTTTTGTTGATCCTTGATATAATGGTGTTAGACTAAAAGAACAATATATACTTAATAAAAATTTCAGCAATTGACCCCAAATTAACAATCAAATCCAAAACTTCAACAAATCGTTGAATTTGCGATGTTGGCATTTTGCTGTTTTTAGAGCCTCACAATCACATGCTCATAATAATTGCATTGTTGTAGGCTTGTGTATATTCTTGAAAATATATTTCTCATTCAATGTATATGTAATCGTTTTGTTAAATTCATCTGAATTCTGATCATTATTTTTTTTAAAGTTATCCCAATTTCAACGAGCCGTGTAAGCGTAAAGTGTTACGCCTTCCAGCGTATTTAACAATGTTTAATTTTTAAAATATGATAGATCCCAACAAACTTTTCAAGGAAATATAATTTCACTGAAATGCGAATAAAAAATACTTCAAATAGATATAAAAAAACACATAGTAAGCTTTTCAAATAAGGCAGAGATTAACGCTTAAAGCTGAGATTACCCCGCACTTCCCGAATTGTCCTCAGGTCCGTGCACGTCATATATACATTTTTTATCTGGTTGAATATCAACTATTATCCTATGTCAAGTAGAGTTTTAGGGAGATAAGTTGGTAAGATATATCCCGTATCCTGATTTTGAGGTTTCCATATCCAGAACCTCCATATCTCCCGCTTCGGTGCATATCTTCCCGCTTCCGGTAAGTAGTGGAAATGCAATAAAATGACTTTGCATAAGAATGATTTGATTATTTTACACCTTGTACTATTGAAATGGCCATATGCACCTGAAACTCTACTTGGTATAGGATAAAGCAGTTATGTACGGTCGGTTTGGATATTGGGTTCATCCCTCGTGAGATATGCACATCTACCTTCGGTCCCTACGGTCCCTTAGTTAGATATGCATATCTCCCTCTAGATAAACCCCATATCCAAAACCTCCCAGTACATCACCCTTATGTACGTCTTTTAAAAAGTATATATCATACACCAAGCAGATGGTTTCCAATATTGGGTGACCCCCGTTGTCCAACGCTTTGGTCATTGACATACGGGTACTTAATAGATAAAAAAGACATTTAGATTGGATTGCATCATGGTTCATTTTCTTACAAACATCTGTAATATATAGATTCATCACAGACACGAAATATCGACAAATTCAACTCGTTTGCTTTCGCTACCTGTTTTCGAGCACCATTTCAATAGTTGGGGGTCAAATATCGCATATATATTGGTTTTCAAAGACAAGCTAATTGTTTTTACAAGTGATGATGATCCCGAACCAGCATTTACATTGTGTAATAAGACAATTGATTAATATTAATGTACCAGCATGTCCCATAAACATATGATAACATCTTATAACCAATAATCAAGGATGCCTTTCAATACAGTATTTTTACAATAACACGTAACGAAAGAGAGCGGTTCGCTGCACTTGGTCGCCTTTAGGTCTCAAAATGTTTTTTCTTGTTAACATAACTTTAAATCCATAGAATTACACAGCCACTGTGCTTGGAAAAACTTAAACGCTGTAAAACATAGGATCAAGCTACTGTACTTGTCACTTGACACTGGATATCTTACCGTGAATAGCAAGTACGAGGACTATGGTACCGTAACACCATTTGATTTTTACATTTTTTACTTTGGAAAATTAATACGGATCAGTGATGACTCGTTGATCTAGACTACTAACACTAGTCACTAGTCACCTTAACAATACGTTTTTCGGTAAAATGCGCCTTGGTATGATGGATGGATATATAGCACGACGACTAAACAAGAAACTCCTTCTGCTGTTCATGATTGCAGCCATCGTACTATACCTGCAGTCGAAGACAGAAAATACTGGGACTAAGATCGTCGGACCAAGAATGTCCAAATATTACAAACATGCAAACCAGGTAGGCAGATGTTAGCGGCAAAGAACTACCCAAGATGCCTCAAATGATCGTCACTATTCAACCACTCTTGATACATGGTCAACACACAAATTAAATCAACAGTTTACAGTTTCCAAAAATAAATAGATATGCAGTCATAAAACAACTGGCATGGTGATCTTTAAAATAATTCATATTAGAAGTGCATCTACATTTATGTGGATATAAATTTGATAGATAACCAAATTCAAATGTCTCGAAATTCCTCCATTCAAATTTTAAAAAAAAACTCAAGATTAAAGATTCTCTCCAACAAAAAAGTGATTAATATTCATTAATGGTAAGTTATTTTGTTTTTGCAGATATCGTCCACAACAGAATCGTTCTCGCCCAATAAAACCACACTCCTTAACGCCACATTGAACCTCCAATTACAATTCATATCACTCAGTGCCATCTATAACATCTCTCTGATCCTTCTGGACCCGACCATAATCAACAACAGCATGGTGTCAACACATAACCTGAAGGAGGACCTCATCAACAAAGCCATTGTCTCCTATGGCATCAATCGTGACGATTTGGCTGGAACTAAATTGGTAAGAATACACGTGAGCTGCTTTTGAAATGTTTAAGTTATGTTTGAATTTTGTTTACAACAGTATGTACGTAAACTGTACTGTAAATGCCCTTCATTAATGTAAGAGAAATTCTTTAGCATTCTTCCCAGTAATTTTCTATGACAGGAAAAATTCCTTAGCGCTCTTGTCAGTTACTTTCTATTATAGGAGAAATTCTAACGCTCTATAAGGCTTACAGCGTTCTAGCCTGTACTGGCTCTGTAGTCAAGAATTTTCCATTAGAGAAATCCTACAGCGCTCTAGACAGTGATTTCCCATTAAAGGAGAAATTCTACAACGCTCTTACCAGTAGTTTCCTATTGTAGAATAAGTCCAACCTCACCCTAGCCATTAATTTTCTATTATAGGAGACATTCATTCGCACTCTATCTCGTAACAAATACCACACAACAGTCGTAAAAGACAGAGACCAGAATGTCAACCATATATTCTTAACGACATCAGTGCCATCTATCAGCAAGTGGATTCACATAGCCATAATATATAACAGACACGGTAGATATTACTGGATAGGGCCCTTAACAGATGAGGCAACAGCCAAGAAACGCCCGCCAGTGGGAAGCATCCGTTTCCCAGCTGCATTTCAAAGGTAAGTGAGTATAGTTGCATCGAGAAAAGGTGTAAATGTTAAGGCCAGGGTGCATGTTGGGAAATTGTCTGCATTCCTCAATTGAGTCACATGTCATTTTTCAAACAAGAATTACTCCTTCCTCACATTGTCTACATCTTCCAGGTTTGCAAAAAAAGTGCACTTATGTGCCTAGAATAGACTTGTGAGAAGATTTGTTTTGTAAAATGTATTAAAAACGAGAAAATCCAGTGAAAAAATTCTGAATTTTTTCACTGAATTTTCTTGTTTAGTTTAGTTTATTTGATCTGAACCATTCATCAAGAGTGACTAGTTCCTGGTTAAGATTCTCTACAAGAGAGTCAATACAAGAATCATGTGCTAAAACATTCGTATCATCTGCAAAAATAACGGGGTTTAGAGTAGTCACTGCCAAGTATATACCATTTACATAAATAATGGACAAAAGAGGACCAAGGACAGAACCTTGTGGAATACCATATGACACTGATTCTGTTTCAGAGAAAACATGGTTATAAAAACCTTTTTGTTTTCTGTTTTCTAATTAACTCTGCAAGAAGTTAAGGGATTTATCCCTTATTCCATAAAAAATCATTTTTCTAAAAGAATACCATGATTGAAAGTATCAAATGCTTTAGAAAGATCAAGAAACAGTCCAATTAAGTACTTGTCATTTTCTAAAGCTTTTCTGATGTTCTCTACAAAAGTAAGAATAGCCATGAATGTCGAAAAAAATTCTGAAACCGAATTGTTGAAGTTACCAAATTTTTTGACGCTCAATAAAATCATTCAGTTGCCTATGTACTAATTTCTCAAGAAAGGACTAGTATTAAGATGGCAAGAGATTTTGGACAGCTGTATTTTTGGTCACGGGTATTTCCCGACCATACAATGAACATTTTATATTAAAACAATATCTTGACTTCAACAAATGTGCATGAAAAAAATAAAAATCCCATTTTAATAATGAGATTAGCCATGGATTAGTAGGCTACCTTCAATAATATTGACCTTATTACTGAAAAAGATGACCATGATTTTTCATATTTTTTTGCAATATAAGATTACACTGTAAGGTAGCATTCACTTCATATAAGGGCATATGGATTGAAAAGTTAATATGAAAGTTACATGGGATAAGGATTATCCAATGGGAAATCCCATGTTATGGAGTTCGCCCTGTCCATCTTTGAAAGTTCTGTTTACCCATCTGCCATCTTTGAGAAAATCGATGCATTAATGAAGGAACATTTGTAAATGTATGTATGTGTTGACAGCTAATGAATGCATGACAGTTTGCTAGGTCATGGGAAACCAATATAATCCATTATTTATGCGAGGGGATTTAATTCAATACCAGAGTATCCAATGAGGCATGAATATAATAACATTGACTGACTTATACTGGACCTATGAAAAACTGATGTACAGTAAAGCTACATGTATGTATGAATGTGAAAATGTATGAAAAGGGGATGGATTATGAAACTGATTTTGGTAACAGTTCCACAATTTGTAATCCATTTTTTAATCTCTGACAATACCACATGTGCTATTCTGACATTACAATACCACATTTGTTACTCTAAAATTGCAATACCACATGAATTTCTCTACATTGTAATATCACAAGAGCTACTCTGACATTGCAATACCGCATGAGTTACTCTCACATTGTAATACCACAAGAGCTACTCTGGGGAAAGTTCAATTGAGGAGTCTCATTAGATACCAATGAAAAATAAAATGACCCATTCAAATTTACGAGTATGTGATTCTGTTGTCCTATTGAAGTTTTCAAGACTCAGTCAGATTTTGTAGTACTGAGACTCCACTGGCAAATATATACACTTACTAAAGTCTCACAGAAATAAGGAGCATATTCCTTATTTTCATTGTTTTACTTTTCAATATACTTCACAAAAGTATTTTACATGTATGGTATGGTACATTGACATAATCATTGATCTTGTTATGTTGCTGATAATTGTAAATTGTATGTACAGGGTGAGCCAAAAAAGGTAACCCTAACAAATATTAATAAATCAGGTTTAGTGTCACATTTGGCACAATTAGGCCTTGTCCAATATATTGTCATTCTAGTTCTACCAAGTTTTAATGGTCTATCTCTAGGGGTTAAAATTTTATGGCTATTTAACAAAACATGCCACAAAATATGGAATTTATGTTTGAACACCAACTTGAACGTTTTGGGCTTAGTTGTACACAACACGCTCATAAACATCTTATGTTATGGCTCTTATCTTCATTCTTATCTCTTGTTTCTATGTTTCAAAGGAAGTTAGTGTAGAAAATAGGCCCAAAGATAAAACTCTGGTGGGATTTATGTCCAGTCAGTGAGACACATTTCGGCATTTTGACCATGTTTTGTAAATAACCATAAAATCGTGACTACAATAGATAGACCAATGACACTTAGTAGAATGAAAGAACATTGACCAAGGTTTTAACCCAATTTATTCTGATTTACTTTTCACCATTGAGTGTAGGCAACCAGTTGGGACATTTGTAAGTATAACTCACTCAACGAGTTAATTAATTTGATCTATATTCATTTCAAAACGCTAGCCTGTAATGCACATTGCGCAAGGGATTGACCTATGTAACTTTTAACTGCAATATAATTGAGAATTAAATGTATAATGAACTGAAATTGAACAAGGTTTAATTGTGCAAAATATGATTTTAAACCCATGCTGAATGACTGAGTTATTAGCAAACATTTTTTGGTTACCTTTATTGGCTCGCCCTGTATCTTCGCCTCTTACACCGTTTCAACTAATTGTGTATCGTTTCAATTTATATTCTTAACATTTCCAGAAATGAATCACAAACACCCGTATTTTGATTAGAAAATAAGAATAGACTGAAAAGCCTCTAAAATGGGATTAGTACAAAACATGGCACTAAGCCACTAAGCCATGGCACCCCTGTGTCATTGGCTCTTGAATACTAATTCAGATTTATTTCGATTATTTTTGTTCTTGATCCTCTTACGAAAGTTTTGTTTTTGGCAAAGAGAGAATGGGTCCTTGAGTACGTACTACATACGTCTGTAACTTGATTCAGATTTACAAATGTTCATTCATGGCAAACTATGCCAAGAAAGATAATATTATAACTTTAGTAAGAGGCTCAAGAACAATGTTTGGAAGGGTAGACATTTGTAAGGGTAATCATAATCTACATAAATATGCAAGAATTTGACTTGTAAAAGTGTTTTAGTGCCTACAGTATGGCATAGGGGGTGCCGTAGCCTATGCCATAGGGTGTACCTGTGCCATGACACGGTGCCATGTTTTGTACTAACCCATTTTGAATGGAATTTATAATTAGCAATTCTACCTCACCATATTTATATGATTATATCGAATAAGACTGGAGTAATAAAAACCTCGCTATATCCCAACCAAATGAAAGTGTAATGAAGTTTGCCAGATTCTTAAATTCATACACCCCTCTTTTGGGATTGGATTACATAAAGGATATAATGTCAAGGTAATGTGAAGTGCTGGAGAAAAAAAAAACCATTCAAACATCAGCCATTACTCAAATTACTATGAGCATGACTTTTATGAGCATGTATCCTTCAAACATTTTCTTATACCTTCTATATAAATGCTGTTGGGTATAATACTACTCAAGTGTTTGCAAGTCACAATGCCATATAATCCTGTATGAATAAACTGCATTCAGTAGCTGACACTATGAGTACAAAACATGAGTTCCAAATATAACACCAGATATTATGACACTGTGTTGCTATCTATTTGTGTTGAAGATATTATATCAATCCAATTTTCCTATATATGAGATTACTGATAACTAATGTTGCAATCTAATTTTGCACAGAAACTTTGAAAACCACGGTCCTCTTTTTCAATATAAGGTCAACATTATTGAAAAAGTGAGGAGGTGGGTTACTAATCCATGGCTAATCTCATTATTAAAATGAGATTTTTATTTTTTTTCATGCACTTTTGTTGAAGTCAAGATATTGTTTTAATATAAAATGTTCATTGTATGGTCGGGAAATACCCATGACCAAAAATACAGCTGTCCAAAATCTCTTGCCATCTAAATACTAGTCCTTTAGAAAAAACTGACAATTAGTTGCATTCAGGGATTTCTATAGCCTTGCCCAAGTCGGTCTCTTTTACTATCTTGATTTCTATTATGACCGCCTTGTACCAAAGAGAAAGCCACGTGCTTTACCGACTCAATGTTTATGTCGGTAAAATTTGACCAATCAACGACGACCCTGCAGCGTTAGCTCATTATTATGCACAGTCAAAAACAAGTACACTTTTTACTTTTCGCCGGGACTTTTCACGAACAAATCTTGCATGAATTCATCATGGAAATACAAATATTTTATCAGATAAATATCAATCAGAGTTTAGTGGATGCCGGAGCATCGATCGGTAACCGGAGGTGAGAAGATTTCAACAATAAACGTTGAAACGATCGCTGAATTCAAATGAACATGTAGGCTGAGATTCAATCACTGATCGACTACATGACCCGCTACATTGGACTCGGTCTTGTATTTTCATCGCCAAATCAGTTTTAAATCTATTGCATGATTTAATTTATATTAATGACTCTTACATTTCCTATGTACATTTAATTACATAATATATTGTAACTCTAAAAAAAACGATCGATCAGATCATTGAATTTCAAATCGGGAAGATTGCTTTGCTTATGCAGGTCAACGTTTTGATTGGTCAATCAGCCTGAAGTCACACGTCGTGTCCACGCGTATATCTGTTAATCAATAAGGTTTCGCGATACCCCTGATAGCGTAGGTATTATGGAAATCTCGAAACCGTTGAATAACTCTGCATAATATCAGCGCAGGTGTATTGGATTGTACAAGGCGGTAATAATTCAAGATCAGATAAGTAAAAAATACCGACTTGGGCAAGGCTAGGATTTCTACTTTCCCAATATTTCCAGTCTTACTATAACTAAGAGTGTCATCCCTGGATTGTATGTACCAGCATCTACCTCCAAGTATCTATCCAGTTTAGAACATTTCAAGTTTATCGCTTGTAATATTTTCAGTCTTACTGTGACTAAGAGTGCCATCCCTGGGTTGTATGTACCAGCATCTACCTCAAAGTATCTATCCAGTTTAGAACATTCCAAGTTTATCGCTTGTAATATTTTCAGTCTTGCTGTGACTAAGAGTGCCATCCCTGGGTTGTATGTACAAGCATCTACCTCCAAGTATCTCTCCAGTTTAGAACATTCCAAGTTTATCGCTTGTAATATTTTCAGTCTTGCTGTGACTAAGAGTGCCATCCCTGGGTTGTATGTATCAGCATCTACCTCAAAGTATCTCTCCAGTTTAGAACATTTCAAGTTTATCGCTTGTAATATTTTCAGTCTTGCTGTGACTAAGAGTGCCATCCCTGGGTTGTATGTACCAGCATCTACTTCCAAGTATCTCTCCAGTTTAGAACATTCCAAGTTTATCGCTTGTAATATTTTCAGTCTTGCTGTGACTAAGAGTGCCATCCCTGGGTTGTATGTACCAGCATCTACCTCAAAGTATCTATCCAGTTTAGAACATTCCAAGTTTATCGCTTGTAATATTTTCAGTCTTGCTGTGACTAAGAGTGCCATCCCTGGGTTGTATGTACCAGCATCTACCTCCAAGTATCTCTCCAGTTTAGAACATTCCAAGTTTATCGCTTGTAATATTTTCAGTCTTGCTGTGACTAAGAGTGCCATCCCTGGATTGTATGTACCAGCATCTACCTCCAAGTATCTCTCCAGTTTAGAACATTCCAAGTTTATCGCTTGTAATATTTTCAGTCTTGCTGTGACTAAGAGTGCCATCCCTGGATTGTATGTACCAACATCTACCTCCAAGTATCTCTCCAGTTTAGAACATTCCAAGTTTATCGCTTGTAATATTTTCAGTCTTGCTGTGACTAAGAGTGTCATCCCTGGGTTGTATGTACCAGCATCTACCTCCAAGTACCTCTCTAGTTTAGAAAATTCCAAGTTTATCGCTTGTAATATTTTCAGTCTTGCTGTGACTAAGAGTGTCATCACTGGATTGTATGTACCAGCATCTACCTCCAAGTATCTATCCAGTTTAGAACATTATAAGTTTATCGCTTGTAATATTTTCAGTCTTGCTGTGACTAAGAGTGTCATCCCTGGGTTGTATGTACCAGCATCTACTTCCAAGTATCTCTCCAGTTTAGAACATTCCAAGTTTATCCCTTGTAACCAGACAAGAGCTGATCAATTTAACGCGGCCAATAAACTGTCAAAAGCGGGCCAAGTGGAAGCAAACGCTACTGCTATCAAAGCACGGCAAATCTTGCAAGCTACAAAAGGTGTATTTGAAAAAGTTGGCATGAATTTTTGGTTGACTGCTGGAACGCTATTAGGTACGTCAGAGTAACAATACACATTAATTTAACAATAAGGCATTATATGTAGATCATGGTACAGACACATTTTGACTTTATGTGTCTGATGTAACTAACAACGAGGATATGTAGGAAGTTAAAGACGGCCTCGCTTTATTTATGAAATAGTGGTACAGATGGTGGTTTAGAAGGACACGGACAATATGTCTGAAATATAGGATGGTACAGACAGTGTGGCTTTATTTTTAGAATGGTACAACAGGGGTGGATCTGGGAACCAACAAGGGGAGGGGGAAAAACTTCTGGTCTGAGAAAAAAAATTCCGGGATTTTGAGGCCACTGTTTCTTCAAAATTTGGTCTTAAATTAAAAATAAGGCCTTAGAAGGCCCATTTATGACCAAAAAGGCCCACTTTTTTGGCTCAAAATCTTTTTGGGCCCAATTTTTTTTCTGTGCCCACCCAAGGGGGGGGGGGGCGGGTCCCTGGCAGACAGTGTGACAATGTGTACAGACTGACATTTGTAGGTTGATACTATGTTTCAAACTGTTTAGCATTATTTGTACTTTTGTACAAACATTTTGACTTTTTGTAGGATGGTACAGGCAGTGTGGTCTCATCGCACACACCACTGATGTAGATGTGGGGACATGGATCACGGAATTTAATCCTGACCTAGAAAAACTTCTTAATCACCCGGGTCACCCAATCAGAATCATGCACCGCTATGGCAAGGTGAGACTAAAACCCAACATACACCAATCAATGGAGCACTGTGGGACCTCCACAGGATCAACATTGCATGGGACTTCGTCAGACTTCTTTGGACCTAATGAGGTTTTGCCCCATGAGACTCCGTGGGACTTCATGGGATTCCATGGTAGTCTGCGGAACTTTGCGCCATCATGCCCCATCGATTCCCCGATCGAGTCCCACGAAGCCCTATCGAGAATGAAAATATGGGACTCGATAGGGCATAGTGGGACGGGACTCCAAGGGGCAAGGATAACGAGGTCCCATAGAACATCGTGGGACTCGATGGGACAAGTTGTTAGTATATGTTGGGCTTAACCCTACTATCACACCAAACTAGTTTTCACTACGTTCTCGAAAACGGACTGGACCTACCTAGAACCGTTTGGGGTCTATTTACAAACTTCATCGAACGTACTCGAAAGGTTAGGTCCCCTAGAACTTAGAACATGCTCAAAATGTTCTCATGGTCGATACGTTCTACAATTAGAACGAGTGACAACGTACTAACGACGAGCTGGACGTACTACGAACGGAACCGTCGTACTTCAATCCTACTAGGGACGTTTTAACAACGAGTTGCACTGTCTAAGGACGTATTGGGAACGAGGTAGAACTAATTGCAAACGGGTTTAAACTGATTAAGAACGTATTTAAGACTGCTTATGAACGAGTTAGCATAAATATAGCTATCACACCAAACAAGTTGCCACTGCGTTCTTCAAAGCTGGTTTTAAAGGGTGACGCATATCGTTTAGCAAATCGAACGCTCGTTCCTGGTGTTGCTCACCGTTTAGTATAAAAGGCCCGATCCCGGAATAATACTCAAGGGTTCACAGGTTCGAGGTCGTTGTGTCAACACCTCTAACTGTTATATAGCATAAGTATATTATAGATCGTCACACATTTATAAAAGGGTGATTTTTATTTTGACAAATCAATTCCACATTTATGGGTGAAGTTTCAGGATCTTCTATTTGTGTATAATAAGGAAAAATTGGCATCTTAATTTCCCCATAACGTAATAGCACACAGCTTGGCATATGAAATATCCTACAAATGAAACAAAGCAAGACAAACCGGTTTCTAATACAAGGATTTATATTGGCTGTTGTACATGTATTCTTTGAACGCAATCACTCTTTGGATAACGTTTTCAAAATCATTATAAACGGATTACTTTATCTCAAAGACAATTTCAATAAACTGGATTTTACAGAACTCCCCTTATTTCTTAAAAATGGACTGATCCAGTTGATTCGCCTAGAGCCGCCATATTGTTTTTATACGGGATGCTAATCGGAACCCTTTAAGCTGTGTGCGAACGGAATGAACGTAGCTGCAACTTTCTAAGGTCTATTTACGAACTTCATGAACGTTCTCAGACGGGAAGGTGATTTTAGAATTTTGAATCGATTCAAAATTCGATGGCGACCATACCGTTCTGTAATCTGATGACCTTCTAGACTAAGGGTTATACGATGTTGCACACCGACCTGGTGCGACCTGAACGAACTGCGAATGAGATGGACGTATTGAAGACTGTTTATGAACGAAGTAGCTAATTATCTTAGACATATTTCCCGACCACAGCCAGATTGAGCCCGTTTTACGACTTTTTCGTAGGACTGGCAAGAACGGGTAAGAACTAGTTTGGTGTGATAGGGGGGTAAACGACCAGGTTATTGTCAGAACTTTACTATGGTCAGTTTCTGATTTGGTTAATCTGATCAAATCCTATGTTAAGAGATTTGATAGAGGCCGAGATTGATTTTCAAAAGCCAAATTTATTAGTTGATCTGAACCCTGGTATTATAGGCATTTGTACTGAAATGAAACTAATCACTAATCACTTTCTGTTCAAGTTCCGTTTTACATTTCAGCCGAAAGATGGCTTTGAGTTGGCAGTTCGAGGATTTGGTATCAAGTTGGATATATTCTTCCACTATAAAGAGACCAAGTACACGTGGACCGGTGGTTTGCGTTTTAAGACACTAGAAAAAGTACGATGGATTTATCCTCGAGATATACCCCTATGTTCCGCTGAGTTATTCAACGATCTCTACCTTGTGCCATGTAACACTCTAGCTATTATAGAAGCTGAGTATGGACCTAATTGGATGCAACCTGACAAAGAGTGGGCCTGGGACAGATCTGCACCAAATATGGTTGAAGCAGGAAAGTTTGCAGAATCAGAAAAGAGAGAAGTTGTACAACGATTTAAAAATAACGGAAAGAGAACATTTTAGTCTAGGATTCATCCTAGGTTTTAGTTTAATCACTCATCACATTTACACTCCCCTCCCAAAGTATACCAACCTGAACTTCCTTTTGGACCAGCTTGCGTCAATTTATATTTCCCGATATTAAGTTGGAATTATACATTAAGCCGGCCAAGGGGGGGGGGGTTAACTTAACTTCCATCGTCCCAAGTAAGACCACCATTACGTAGCAGAGATGAATCATCATTCCAATAGTCTAAACGGCATGTCATATCACCCTTACTGATTGGTCGGAAGAAATCATAATGACCATTCAACAAAGTGAATGATTTAAATGAATAACCAAATTGATAGTTTCTGGCGTAATTAAGTAATTACAAGGCATTAACATGCAAAATGTCACCACCTGCAATTTGTTACAGACGCCGAACGCCGAACATTGTTCGAACGTTGGACACTAACCGCCGATCACCGTCCACAAAAAAAGTTTGAGACTAACAATGAAACAGTTTTTTAGGTTCGAATAAAGTAACATAAAATTCTTAAAAGTTGAAGTCCTAACACTATGTAAAATCCCATGATTAATACAGTATCATAAACCTATTAAACATACATATCAGTTGTTTTAATTCGTTTTAACCTGTTATCATAGGTTTATGTATAAGACATAATTATAACAATGAATGATACGGACTTTTTTGGAGTTTCTCCTCTGATACTTGTATAATTTGTTTTAATTTGTTATCAGCTGTTATCAGCTGTTATATTCCATCTGGTTCAACTGGATAAAACATATTATACTGGATGATACATTTCTCTGCTCTTGCGTATAATTTGTTTACATTAGGTTACATGTTGTTGACACAACGTGTTGACACTATCTTGTTGACATAGACATATTGAGTGTTTTAATAAAAGCGGGTATTGATAAATTAAGTTTTGACATTTGAAAGTTGTAATGAATTAATATTAATGATTTTTCAAAATAAGTCACCAGAAGTGATTAGTGCAGCAGTTGAAAGATATTAGCATTTATAACGTGCTTGTAAAAACACGGGCGCCCATTTAGATTATTAGCGGTTTTATTATAATATTGGATTGCTTCAATGCGCTCCATGAAAGAAAAATGTGGGCATTTTATTAATTGAAATCAATATGTCTTAATATTAAAGCTACATTGTTAACGGAGACAACGTAAGACTGCCACATTTTAACCCATTTCAAAATTCGGTGTTTTTATTTTCCATAACGGCTACTAGTATTTGTGTGCCATAGTTATCTCAGCTTTCGGGAATCACGGTTATCGTGATTTAAGGGCAGTTATAAAAATATGCAAGGCGATGGTTCAAAATGGACAATTTTCAAAACTGCTCAACTTCACGTTTTTAAAGAATGCTTGCCCGGCGAGGGGTTTGCTATTGCGAGAGAACAAAAACTTTGAATTAGGATTTTTCCTAATACTTAATCATTAATCTGTTAATACTTAATCATTAATCAACAACTTTTTAAACCGTCTCTCTGATTAAATATCATGCCAATTAATACCACGATTGTGTTGACAGGATTAAATGCGATATCCATGGAATAATAATTTAATGAACTCAATAGTCTAAATGATAAACAAGTTCATAATTTAGTCTTGGCTGACTAGTCTTGTATCATCAGAGTTGGATTGCGAATACCTCCCTAAATCAAATATTTAGACTCCAGATGAAATCTGGAGTCTATTGTTTTCGTCAGTTTTCTTATTATTCTTTTTCTTATTAGACTCCAGATTGAAAATCTGGAGTCTATTGCTTTTGCCAGTTTTCTTATTATTATTATTCTCTCTTGTCACGTTTTCTCAGTAACTAGAAGACTTGGAGTAAATCTACTTACATGGTCAGTTAGGGTATGTGACCTAGTTTCTGGGAAATTAGGTCAAATTTTTATCTAGGTCAAAGGTCAAAATCTAGGTCAAATTATCATTTTGTCAATTATCTTTGTCATTTTTCGATATTTTTTCAAAATTTTTTTTTCAACGTGTAGCCGAGAAAAAGACGATTCGACTGTGAGTAATCAATTTTTTGATTACTTTTACCGATTTTGAGATATTGCGTCCGGAAAGTAGGTCAAACGAAAAAGTTCTCCGAATTCAACGTATGAGTTATGAAATAAGTGTAAAATTTCCTCAGGAATCCAAATCTGCAAACCAAATTTCAATCTGACTTCCGGTTCGGAAGCTATAGCGTTTTGAAATTGCTAAATTTGGTGCCCATGTAAAGCCAATGGGAAAAAAGACTTTTTCGAAGTGTAAAATACAAGATATAGACTGAGCACAGCTTAACATAATGAATGTCCATAAAAGAAGGGGACCTCAAAAGCTACCTAGCTTCAAAATTTGGACACCAAAATGCCTAGGTCAAAATCTAGGTCAAATTCGTAGTTTTTCCTTATTTTTGCGATTCTGGCACTACACTTTTAGGATTTGCTTCAAAATTTTGTATACAGGTAGCAAAGATTGTGCTAATAGTGTTAGCCTTTTGCCGTCAGGAAGTATTTTGACCCACTTTTGAGATATGGTGTCCGTAAAGTAGGTCAAAATAAAAATTTCTCATAATTTAACTTATGAGTTATGAATTAAGGGTAGAATTTTCTCAGGAATCCGAACCTACAAACCAAATTTCAATCCGACTTTTCGTTGGGAAGTTATGGCGTTTTGAAAGCTCAAAAATCGCTAATTTTGGTGCCCCATGTTATGTCAATGAGAAAAAAGATTTTTTTGAAGTGAATAATACCAGATAAAGACTGAGTACAGCTTAAGATTCTGAAAGTCTATAAAAGAAGGGGACCTCGAAGGCTATCTAGCTTTAAAATTTGGACACCAAAATCCCTAGGTCAAAATCTAGGTCAAATACATAGTTTTTCCTTATTTTTGCGATTCTGGCACTACACTTTTACGATTTGCTTCAAAATTTTGTATACAGGTAGCAAAGAGTGGGCTAATAGTGTGAGCCTTTTGCCGTCAGAGAGTATTTTGACCCAGCTTACAAGTAATTGGATGACTCAGCTTAAAACAAGTCTTAAATCTGGAGTCTTAAATTGAACTTGTTCAATTTACATGTCTAGTTATTATTATTCTAAGCAAGTTTTCTCAATAACTGTAAAATCTTCAGTTAAGACAATCATTTGGTCAATTTAGGTTCAGAATCTAGTTCCTCGGAAATTGGGTCAAATTTTTATCTAGGTCAAAGATCGAGAACTAGGTCAAATCCAGTACTTTGTCACTTTTTGCGATTTTCTCGGTCGTCCTTCAATATTTCCGATCCGGGTTTTTTTCATTGAGTTCCTTATAAAAAAGTAGAAAATCTAAGGTCGATTTAGTTTTTTGATATCTCAAACCGATTTCGAGATATCAGTGTCCGAAAACGAGGTCCAAAAAAAAGTTCTCCGAATTAAATGTCCAGGATATTAATCTTATAGGAAATTTTCTCAGGATTCCGAATCTGAAAACGAAATTTAGATCAGACTTCCGGTTCTGAAGTTATGGCGTTTTGAAAGCTCAAAAATCGCTAAATTTGGAGCCCATGTTAAGTCAATGGGAAAAAAGATTTTATTGAAGTGAAAAATACGAAATATAGACTGAGTTCAGCTAAATATAATGAAAGCTTTTAAAAGAATGGGACCTCAAAAGCCATCTAGCTTTAAAATTTGGACACCAAAATGCCTAGGTCAAAATCTAGGTCAAATTCAAAGTTTTTCCTTATTTTTGCGATTCTGACACTACAGATTAATTATATTCTTCGAAATTTTGTATACATGTAGCCAAGAGTATGCTAATAGTGTGAGCCTTTTGCCGTCAGAAAGTATTTTGACCCACTTTTGAAAAATGGTGTCCGAAAAGTAGGTCAAAATAAAAAATTCTCCAAATTTAACGTGTGAGTTATGAACTAAGTATGGAATTTTCCCAGGAATCCGAATCTGCAAACCAAATTTCGATCCGACTTCCGGTTCGGAAGTAATGTCATTTTGAAAGCTCAAAAATCGCTAAATTTGGTGCCCCATGTTATGTCAATGGGAAAAAAGATTTTTTTTGAAGTGTAAAATACGAGATATAGACTAAGTACAGCTTAAAATAATGAAAGCCTATGAAAGAAGGGAACCTCAAAGGCTACCTAACTTCAAAATTTGGACACCAAAATCCCTAGGTCAAAATCTAGGTCAAATTCATAGTTTATCCTTATTTTTGCGATTCTGACACTACACTTTAATTATATTCCTCATAATTGTGTATACATGTAGCCAAGAGTGTGCTAATAGCGTTAGCCTTTTGCCGTCAGAAAGTATTTTGACCCACTTTTGAGATATGGTATCCGAAAAGTAGGTCAAAATAAAAAGTTCTCCAAATTTAACGTATGAGTTATGAATTAAGAATAGAATTTTCTCAGAAATCCGAATCTACAAACTAAATTTCAATCCGACTTCCGGTTCCGAAGTTATGGCGTGTCCGAAAAGTGGGTCAAAATAAAAATTCGCCAAATTTAATGTTTGAGTTATGAATTAGAGGTAAAATTTTGTCAGGAATCCGAATCTGCAAATCAAATTTCGATCCGACTTCCGGTTCGGAAGTTATGGCGTTTTGAAATTTCAAGAAAAATCGATCTGATGGTATCCTGATAGAAAGTCAAGAATAGAGAAGAAAATATTGAAAATACATCCATCCTTCCTTTCTGATCCTATCCTATCCTTCCTATCTACCCTTGCTTCGTATCCTCTCCTTCCTATTCTATCCCTTCTTCCTATTCTATTCTATCCTTCTTTCCTATTCTATCCTATCGTTCCTTCCTATTCTATCCTATCCTTCCTTTTTTTTCTTAATGACTTAGCTTATTTTGGATGACTTGGTTTATTCTGGATGACTCGGCTAAAAAAAGTCTAGATCTGGAGTCTGAAATTGAACTCGTTCAATTTCCAAAATCTAGTTATAATTGTTTTTATGTCTCCAGACTCTGATCCAACCACTAAAGTTTAAAAGGAAGACTATAGTGTCCCGTGAATTCATTATAATTATCTTAGACAATAGTGAAGCGGTACAATCGTGGGAGTGTTAATTAATCGGAATGCAAGTTTGATACAAAATAGCTCCTTTGGATCAAATATTTAAATTTTACTAGAGTGCGGGGAGTGGAAACGA